CGGCTAGTCATTATAGATAGAACCTTGATACACGTAAAGTCCACGCAGGTCATGGGCCTGCCGCTAGGGCTTTGGCAAAAGCCAGTGCAAGGGGAGTTGCTTGGTGAATAATTAACTTAAAGCAGTCACGTTAGTAGTTAGTCAAGCTGAAAAAACAGCAGGGACCCCATATATGGTTATATTGTAGCAGGTTTCAGCCAGCTACCGGGGAGGGTCATTAATATAAGGTTTGTATATGTAAATATAGATATATATATATATATGAGGGCCCGTATGCTATAGGCTACCTTTATAGCTGCTAATGGTTGTGAAGTGAGGCTTTCGTTGCTTGTTTTGAAAAGGGGCAGGGGTGTTGTGTTATGGGTGATTCAGTGTAATGTGCTCCAAGCAAACGCCGGATCTTAAAGCATGATTATTGTTTTCGTTTTTGGTTTCAACCTTAGGCCCCTTACTCAAAACCCACTAGGCTTAAAAATATTTGTTTCCAACATTGAAGCCTGCCCCTGTCAGGTATCCCACCGATTGGTCTGCGAAATTGCCAGCGGTTTCTGGCAAGAGCTCAAAAGTGCTACAGGACTGGATTCGGATGATGAGATTTTACAGAGTGCCCCTTTGATCAAGAAGATGCACAAATCATCGAAGACAAAACACGAAAACCAAACAACGGAAGCCTATGCGAAGCTTGGTCTAGCAGCCCCTGTTCCGATTTCGTATATGGACCTGGATGGACTGTCTGAACATCCTTGGTTGCGGCCAAGTGATTTGTTGAGGGTTTTTGTCCTCGAGAAGAAACTGGGTTTGCTTATGGGCGATTGTTCTTCCTTCGAAGTGGTTCAGGAGTTTTGGAAACGCTACGAGCTTGTGCAGCCTCGCCATCCGGTTTTCCAACTTGACCCTGGTGATTTACAGTACACATTGCCGTGCGTGTTGTACGCTGACGAGGGGTCAACATTGAAGAAGCAAAGTTTGATGTGTGTGTCCATTCAGCCAGTGCTGGGCAGGGGGACGTATGCTGCCTCCAGATGCGAAGCTAGTCCTGCTGCTATGGGTTTAAACTTCATGGGCAGCTGTTACAAGACGAGATTCCTTCTGAGTGTTTTGGCCACGCGGTTCTACAAAAAACAACCAAACATCCTCGACAACCTCATTCGCGAGATTGTTCGAGACCTTTCTGGTCTGTTTGGCAAGGGCGTGGCTGTTTGTGTAGGTGGTGTGGTCAAAACGATTCGGATTTGTATTCTGGGCTTGAAAGGTGACTGGCCTATCTTAGCGCGATTTGGTCATCTTACGAGGAGCTTCCACAAACAGAAAAAGGGAGGACGAGCCCTACGCTCTCCAGATGAAGGTGGAATTTGCCACCTATGCAAGGCCGGGTGCCCTTCAATGCCATATCAAGAATACACAGAGGCTGCGAGATGGTGTGCCTCGTTTCTGTCGGTGCCTCCGTTTGACCCTGCTGACCCCAGCCCACTTGCGGACCTCCCGCAGCCCCCAGAGAAAGAACTTTTCTACCAGTATGATTTGTTTCATACAACACACAGAGGGGTATTTGCCGAATTGGCAGGTTCTGCGATAGCCTCTTGGATGCTTTTGATGTTTGATTTGGGTTTGGAACATTAGGGCTGCCATGTTTTCACTTTTAAGAGTTTTGGAAAGATTTCGTGTTGGAATCCTAACTTGTATCCAAGGTGGTTCTCCTTGATTTGGGTTTGGCTGGAGCAGGCGACAAAAATCAGCAGCTTCAAACCCTCTACCGCCGATTGAGTGCGTTCTGCAAGACCCACAAGCTATCCCTTCATATGAGCAACCTCACGCGAAAGCTTTTGCATTATCCAACGGAACAGGAGTTTCCTTGTGGGATGCTATGCTGAAAGTTGCTATAATAGTTTTCTACTTTCATTTTGTTTCAGTATAGTTGGTTCTGGCTGGGTTTTGGTCGAACTGGGAGCTTACGAAGCTGTGTAGGAGCCCCCCTCAATTTTCCAAATGTGTAAATTAACTTGCAAGTGTTGTTTTGAAGTGCCATGTGTACGGAAAACGTACGTATTGTAATGAAGTTATGTTAGATGTTGGTATCGGAATTTTCAAATCTATATAGGGCTACTATGAGAGATCTAAGGACGTGGTTTAAGGGTGCGGATACTACCTCTGTCCTGCTGTGGTTGGAGGCTGTGTTTTCCTGTCTCAATGAAGAGACATTTTCAACCTACACAAAAGCTATTGAAGTCGCGATACATGCATCAAATTCGTTTCTTCGATTGTTGTACAGGGGAGGGTTGTGGCTTACGAACGTACAGGCTAAGACAGCCATTCGTCATGGCAGGACGTTTTGTCGTGCCTACTTAGATGCAGCGATGGAGGCTCATCAAGCCCAAAGGTTGAGGTTCAAAATCTCACCTAAATTTCATGCATTTAGCCACTTGACTTTTGATATGTGGCTCCAAATTCGTAATGAATGGGTCCTCAGCCCATTACTTTCCTGCTGCCAGCAGGATGAAGATTTTGTTGGCAAGGTGTGCTCCCTTTCTGTTCAGGGTTGTTTTAAATTAGTGCATCTGCACACTGTGCAGCGGTATCTGCTCAACCTGCATGAGCACTGGTAAAATGAGGGAGTGTGACTTTAAAGGCCCCATTTTCAGCTTGGAATATATTTAACGGATATTCTGATGAAACTTATTAGTGTTACCATGGAATGGCAAAGCCAAAACCTGCGCCTATTTTAAAGTTGCTCGCAAAACCTACACCTATGCGACTTTGACCCAAAAAACAGACCACTAGGTTCCCAAGGAACTGCTAGTTCAGGGGGACGTCATCAATCAGGCACCAGCAATGGACAAGAAAATTGTGCGCCGATTGCGCATACTGCATACTACTGCTGCTGTTCTTCTGCCTAACCTTGCCAGTGTCTACTGAACCTACTGCATTACCCTTGCGACAGCCACTGCTACATGGACGTGGCTCCATGGAAAGGTGAAGGCACAGCCGCCCACACCCCTTCATCTACTTTCGAATTCGCATGCCCAAAGCCATGCGCAACTCTTTACTTAGTTGGACATGTTCATCCTTTGAAACGGTGTCTGCTACAGCAAGCCATTCCAGCAATCTAGATTCCTGCAGCGAGTTTATGACACACTCGCAGCCTTTGTGAATTCTGCATGTCGCCTTGTAAACTGGACGACTGGCAAAGTTGAGAATTGAAATTGTCCCCAACACGTCTGTGACCCCGGTACCCTGCTGACGCTTCCAGACCTCAAATCGTTTGTAGCCGTGCTTTGCCTCCAAAGCCACTACATCGACTCCATCTGCGCGGCGCTCCAGCACAAGCTCAGCCAAGCCGCTGTGACCGACCTCAAGAGGTGGGTGGGCACCAAGCGAGAGGTCCTACTTCTCCGGAAGCAGCAGTGCTAGCTGGAACTGAAAGAATTCCGCAACCCTGCTGCGTGCGTCGAAAGAAGCCCTGACCTAAAAAGGACAGGGTACAGTCTGCAAAGTGCTACTGCGACTTGCAGTGGCAGGAGGCACAAGAAAACCGGAGCCAGCGCGTCTGGCAGCTGCCTCACCCAATCTACAATTTGCTTGTGTCAAGCAAAGATAAACCCGTGATCAAAACACAGATTGGAAACCCACTTGGAAACTCATATTAGGATGGACAAGTAGCAGGAGCAGGATCTGATGAACCACGGGGTTCAGCGTCCGCGCCCAACTCCGCGTCCTGACCATCTTCAACACTCTCTGTGCTACGAGCTACAAGTAGACAGGTTCAAGCAAGCATGAATGATTCATGATTCAGGAAATGATTCAAGTTTCTGCCAAGTACAGCGGATCCCATGGACAGGTGGACGATAGCATGATTTCTGGGAACCCGTTCGATAAAACCAGATTACTCTAATTACTACAAGTGTGGACAAGCGCTTGCGCCTCCAGCGCATCACTATCACCATCCGAATGGTCATCAACTCCTCCATCTTCATTCTCATCCTTCATATCCGGGTCCGCCTCACACGATCCCGCACTGACTGCTTCATCGCCCGATTCTGCAAAGGGAGCTGCGTGGCTGTCGTTGGCAGTACGACAAGCGTCTACCGCTTCCAAGCAGGAGCCTATGAAGCTCTCATCAAGGGACGCTGAGATCGCTGGATCCTGCACAGCTTCTTCTAGCGGAGCACAGGGGCCTAAGACGTCAGCCTCCGGCAACAACACATGTTCCTCTGCTAGGATTTGCTGCATCTGTGCATCCAGGTCTTCTTGCAAAGTTGCCGCGTGTGGCACTGCAGCAATCAAATTCTGCCGCATTGCTTGGGAAGTTTGCTTGCCCCTGCCCTTGCCCCTGCCCTTGCCGCTGGAAGAGCGCTGGGCACCGCATACTTCTGCCAGCAAGTCGAACTCGCCGCCGCCCCCACTCTCACCAGCACCGGCACCAGCTGCGTCTGCTAACGCAGGCTCAGCTTCCATCTGAGCAGCTGGCGCTTCTTCCCATTCAACGGAAGCCTCGACAATTATGTCCTGCCAGCCTTCCCATGCCCCTTTTGGGGTCACAGTTGCGAGATCCACATCCTCGAACGAAAGACGAGATATGGAAATCGTGGTGGCACCCTGCTGCCGGCAAGTCTCAAGCAAAAACTTTGCATACTGCTGCTCTGTGTGGAGGTCTAATGGACCGCAACTCAGCAAGTCTGAACGCCATGGAAGCTGAGATGCAATCTCCGGTCGCGTCTTCAACCGAAGCTGGATTGCTGCGCCTGCTCCATGAGGCTGAACCTTCGACCCGACTCCCCGACAAATTAGAAGTTGCAAGGAATACTACGGAAAAATTCAAAATTCCACGGTCAGATTATGAACCTTTAATCCCAAACCCTAAACCTAAACCCTAACACAGATATTATTCGATGTTACATCATGATAGCAATTAGCTGCTTATGGCTACTATGACTAGTAAAAGACAGAAACAAACCCCAAGTAAACTGGCACCCCAAACTAGTCCCCAATGCGAAATGCCCGACACTGCGCCAAGACTGACCAAGCAACCGCATCAAGCGAAACAAAGATCTGGCCGGAGGCATGTGGGCCACTGCGAGCAGATAAGGACGTCAGCAAGGAATAGAACTCTGCAAAGTGATCCGCATCTGCAGTCGTGATGCTGCATCTCAACAAGATGTCGCACTTGCTGGCTGAGGCAATGGACCCATCCCCGCAGCGACACACAACCGTGTCAAAAGCGTCAAGCAATGATTGAAAACAGCGAATATCGCCTGGGGACGCTTTGGTTCTGCAAAGCAAGCCGCATGAGCTCTGATATATGATGCTTTCAGGGAAGAGATCTTGATTGCTGGGCATTGCAAACCTCTGTGTCTCAGCATTGAACTGTTGCAAGGTGGCTGCCCAAGTACGTCCCTGGGAAACGTTGTGCTTCCACGATTGCTGCAACTGCTCTTCAGATACCGGGCTGCACCGAAGACAGTCATCAGCCAAATCTGCCAGCGCATCCTGCTCAGTTGTGAAGTACTTGCCTATCTCCCTCGCCATCTCTGGCAAGTCTGCAACACCTGCCAACGAAGAAGCAAGCACCCAAGGATTGTAGAAGCTTGCCGCCGCTGGCAGCGATGACCCGGGCACGTACTGAGAAAGCGGCCTCATCTCTGCGCATGAGGGCGCCTCATCTGGCTGCACGTCTGCATCCTTGACAGCTGCTGGCACCACTGCATCATCCGGTCGCCCAAGACGCGGCTTTTTCTGGCGAGACTGCAAGCGCTTGGCAGCAGCGCTCCTGATGGATTCCTGAGCCAAGTCCTCATAGTACGCTTTCCTGGCCTCAGGTAAGGCCGCCCACGCCTCTTTCAGCGATGCCCAGAATTCACGAGAGCATGGATTCACAACATCTGACGACACGCGTTGCTGCGCAGCCAGCAAATCGTCCCGGAAGAACATGTACGCAGACTTGGCGCGAGGAGCTGGGGTCTTTACCTGGACAGACACTTGCTTGCGCCCTTCAAGCCCTTCGGCCGGTGCGATTGCCCTGGCGCCAGCGGCAAGCGTCTTCAAGGAGTCTGCATGCAGACGTGCTTCCTCGACGCACACGGCCGCCTCCCTGTTGATATGTTTGGCTGTGATCGTGGGAAACGGCCGGTCCGCCCAATGCTTCGACAATGCATGTTTGCACTCAACATCGGCTATGGTCATTTCAAGCAAGGCCCCGTAGCCTGCGAGGACGGCAGTCCACTTTGGGTTGGTCGCCAGCTCATCAGCACTGACGCCCATCCGCTTGAGGTCCCTGGCAAGGCCTGGCGCTGCGCAGCAGGTGAAAGATGACTCCCACAAGTTTTTCGCAGCTTGGACAGTTGTCTCCTCTGCTTCGCGATCTACAAACTGAAGCAAGGGCCACGGCAGCTCTTGCCAATAGACGACATGTCGCCTATACACCCACCCCGCCAGGCATATCAAGACCCGTCTCAGCTCGCGCACTGACGCAGTACACTCAGCACACCACTCACCGTACGTGGGAAAACCAGCTGGTCGCCAGATCATAACCAAACGGCCTCGACCATGAGGATCCAACAACTGGCGAGCAACATTCTGGAGGACGGCCCACGCCACCGAAGTTCGGGGATCCAGAAGTTCGCAGATGGGCGGCCGAGCCCGCACTTTCTTCCCGACCTTTAGGATGCGAAGCCAGAAGAACACCAGACGTCGAAGATGTTCCGACACCAGAAGCCAGATTCTGCAACGCAGTTGGGAGTCGGGAGATGTCAGAAACTCTCGCGAACCCAAATAGCGCTTCCCCTGGACAGCATGGAAGTAGAGACCTTCAACCAATCTCGGATCTGCTTCTTCATGGTTAAGATCTGCTGCAAACATCATCGGTTGGAACGCTAAGTTGAAAATACCCGGGAGGACATTATTCACTAGGAGCCCAAGTCCTACGAAATCCGAAGAGGGAAAGATCTTGCACCACTTGTTGGGTGAAGGCACAGCCGGGAGGGCCGTTAGCAGGAGCGAGATGAATGTCGCAGCCATTCTCGCCACACACTCGGCCTTGGACTTGCAATGCCTTCCTGAGCATCTGTGAACAGGATGCCCCGCGTACGGGCCATTCCACATCTCACGGAATTCCCTCAACTTTCGGCTGAACATCGTCTTACCCTCAGCATCATTTTCCTGGCCGTCGGCTTCACAATCTCGCCCATGGTGCCATTGCTCCAAGAACTGAAGCGTTTCAATCCTCAACGGATCATCAGCTTGCCCTGCTTGCGGCTCCATCACCAAGTGCTCCTGAGCTGCAGATGGCGGCTTTAGTGAAGGTTTGGGCAGAAGCTATGGGCCATTAGGAAAAGCAAAATGCCACCCCGCCCCTCCCCATGCCCCCCCCCTCAAGCTCAACAGCACCTTGTCTTCTGGGCTACAGCAATATCCCCGTGACAGCTACATAGCCAGAACTTCTGACGACACCCAAAGCCTAGTAGTTACATAGATCATAAAATCATGAAAGCATCTGCCAACCAACTCTTGAGCGCAAGTTGGAGACGTAAAAGGTACCCTAAATTTCTCAAGAACACCGCGAGCGCGTAGAGTCTGCTCAGCAGCGAACCACCAAGCAAAGCCAGAATGGACACTGATATTAAATGCGAAGCGTGTGATTGGCACCTCGCAGTTTGCAGGAACGATCCTGCATCCGTCTGAGGGTTGAAGCAGGGCAACGCCAACAGATGGTTGTGCAGTCTTATATTTGCATATGCGCCGTCCACCTCGTGTAGACAACAGCTTGCCTCCGCAGTCTGCGCAAGCGTGCTAATCAAGCCATTGAGCATATGGAAAGATGGATGCCGCCGAAGTGCATAGTAAACCTGATCTGCCGAGCTTGACATCAACGGCACTGGCGGTCTGACTATGCGGATCTGCAGGGTGGTACCAGAGGGCCAAGTCACAAGCACGCGTGAGCGCACCACCAACACGCTCCAAGCGGATTTCACACTTGATGTGCAGCCACCTGAGCTATAGTCTAAACTCCTAGTATCACCCCTACTATCCCCTATGGTAGTCTCTTATATAATCCCTTATTTAAGCCCCTTTGAAGAATTTAGACTATAGCTCACCTGGGTTCAGGGTAGTCGAGACTGTTGTCTCGTCATACTTCAGCTGCTCATGCACTGTCAATGGCTTCTTGCGCTGGCAGAACGAGCAGATGCGGGCCAGAACACGGGCTTGCGCGATCATGAACGTCCCTGCGCAGGTTTTCTGGAGGCGCGGAATGGTAGACGAGTCCAGTCCCAAAACTGCGGCCAGTGCCACGTTAGATGTATTAAGACCAAACGATGCTCGCAGAAATTTTTCAAAGGCAACTTTTCTGACATATCTGTTGCCACGCCCAGCCGCCTTGGTCAAGATGATTCGAATGCCTCCCGCACGTGTTGGCTTGGCTGCAACACTGAAGCAGACGCCGTTCTTAACCAACTGACAATTCCCCAGCGCAGCGAGCAGCTCGTCTTCAGTCTGTCGAGACTTCTTTTCCCGCTTCTGCGCCCGCATATGGCGGCAAATCATGTTGCGTTCAAGCTGGCCGCCGTGCCTGCCCTTCCCCAGCTTCCCTTTGAGACACTCTCGTGCACTGCGACATGTCTCTGTCGCAGCCGTGCCTTGTTCTTTCGCCACAACACTGACTGCTCCAGCGGGCACAGCTAAGGCGAGTACATCGTGAGCAGCTGAAACTTCTTCATCCCCGTCCGAGAAAGCAGCTAGCAGATCAGCTTGAAAAGCCTCCCCCGGAGGCTCAGGCAAACCATCAGAAACTACTTCCACGTCTGAGAACGCTTCGCTCAAATCCATGCTGGCGAAGTGGGCTTCAGCCAAGATGGCGGAGGTCGCCCAACAATCTGCCGCCTTTGAATATTTCAGGTTTCGATGTTGGCAAGAGTTTCTGAAACCTGGCGCAATGTACTCTACTAGTCTTATGGCGGGTCCCAAAATTTGACTAGGATGGCCACAATAATTGTTGTGATGGGTCCCCAGGAATTGTTGTAATGGGCCTTAACGATCATGATGGGTCCCTAAGTACTAATAACTGTTATGATGGGTCACTAATAACTGTTATGATGGGTCCCGAATAACTGTTATGATGGGTCCCTAATAACTGTTATGATGGGCCTTTGTAACTGTTATGATGGGTCCCTGATAACTGTTATGATGGGCTTCGTAACTGTTATGATGGGTCCTTAATAACTGTTAT